TATATATATATATATATATATATAAATATATAAATTTGGAGATTGCACTCACAAAAAATTAAAATAGAAAGACCAAAATTACATATAAGAATTGAAAAGAAAAAAAAATTAGCTTTTATTAATTTGGTGGTTGAGTCCTAGGTTTTACCCCTTTATTTTGCTAATTATTAGGTTTGTTTAATGCGCTTTATAGATTTGAATATTGAAAAAAAGATTTTTGAATTTGAATATAAATAAAATTAATTAACTGTTTAATGAAAACTGAATATAAAAACATAGGAAAAATGTGTTGAGGAAAAAAAATATAAATAAGAGGAAGCACAATAAGAAAAGGAAGTTAATTTTAAAATCTGAAGAAACAAAATCGAAAAATAGGTAAACCCGCGCAGTGAAGGTGTTTGTGCTGAGTCTGCAGCGAGGCGAGTAGGTTATTGGAATGGAAGAGCAGAAGCAGGAGGAAAGCCTGAAGCATTTGGGTGAAGAAGAAGAAGAAGAAGAAGAAGAATCGGTGTCGGAATCGGTGCGGGATTTACCCTCCGACGCCGTCAAGGAATTGTTGTCGGAAGGGGTCAGTTTTTCTAATTCATCTTCGTTCTCTTTCTCTTCTTTCTCTTCTGCTAACTGATATTTCACATCACATCACAGGTATGCGCCCGTTGCGTCTTTCGCCTCTTCGGCCTCCAAGGCCGTGTCTATGCTTCTCCTCCTTCCCTCTCTTTTCTCTCCTCTCTCTCCGCCACCACACATCAACTTTGCACGCTTTGCTTCGGGATTCTGCAGTTCACGTATTATTCAGACGACACCCAAACTCCCCTTCAAAATCAGAACCTCCCACTTCTCATTGCTGACACCGTTAAACGACTCGCCTATCAGTTCCATACCTTTTCCCTTGAAGTTTCTATCCCGCCAATCATTCTCAACAATGATAACTCTCTTCGGTTAAAATTCTACTTCATGCTTCTTTACTTTTCACTTTTTTGTAGTTGTGCCTTTCTATTCCTCCTTATTATTATTGTTTGGGTACGCATTTAATATTCATAGGAATGTCTTATTTTTTTAAATTTTGTAGCTCATATATGAAAACCAAATTCGGGTCTCAATCTTGGTTCCAAGAAAACTTGCTCACTGGATGCATATCTACAAAGGATGCCTTAAAATTTTCTCTGATATATCCTCTTAAAAATCTTCTGGTTAGTCATTTTTCGTATCAGTCAAGATGTTTATGTTTTGATCCATTTGTTTTCTAATGACCCTTTACAGAAATTTATTTTTGCAGGAATGTAAATCGAGTATGGGCAATTTCCGCATTCGTTTGACTTACACTCACACAAAAGCATCGAAGGGGGATCAGAACCGGTCAGATAGTGCCGAGACTTGCAAGAGAAGAAAAATAGGCATGCTCAAGTTTATTATTGATCCTGTGTTGCATTTTAGTTGGTGTTTTTATGAAGAAACTGAGAACATCTGACATTGACGCATCAAATTGAGCTGTTACTTTCTCTGATTGCGTAGTGTTGTGCCTTTCAGTGTGACTGTTTCAGAATTCACGACAAAGTACAAACCAATGAATTCATGAGAATTCTTATCTGTTAATAAAATGGTCTTCTCTTGCATTGGTCTTACCTTTTTGTGCCGGTGAATGACCTTTTTCAAAGTATAATACTGCTATAATGAAATTCAATTCCAGACAAAGGAATTATTTATTTTTTAGTTATACTAGTTTTCCTCTGGAAGCATGCTTTGCAATAAACCAATAGTTACTATTGACTGATTGCTGTGAGGAGTATTCCTTGTGCATCAAAGGGACTGCCATTCATTGAGCTTCAGAATTTCTGCTCCTTAAAAATTAACATCTTATTATTACCAATAACAATTAAATAGCTGGTCTCATTTTCCCTGGAGTTTTCGTTGACGTTTTGGACTCTGTAGCATATGCTTAGATTTATTTTGTTTTCCTTTGACTAGTTTTTGGATGTAACATATGCTTAACTTGTCTATATGTCTAAGGTGTAGACAGATATTGCCTTTGATTTTACACTTTTCATTGACCTTTTGGACTCTGTAACCTTTTCTTCTTTTTTTTCTGGTAGAAATGGCCATAAGATTGATTTCCTTTTCCTTTCACTAGTTTTTGGCTCTAACATATGCTTGGATTGTCTATAGCTCTAGGTGTATACAAACACTGCCTGTGATTTTACAGTTTCTTACATTAACCATTTCATTTTTATTTTAATATTTTATAGGAGAGTCCAATCTTGTTGGAGAAATACCTATTAGCAAATCACTTGAGAATGATTCCTCTGACGGCTGTGAATTCTTGCTAGAAAAGGTAATTTGTGATCACCCTCCTATTCTATGACTAAATGTATTTCAGATTTAAATAGCTTTGCTTCATGATCCCATGTTTGTCAGAATGCAATCTCTTAAATTTATGTGTATCATAAATCTTTGTTGGTTTTCATGGTGGGTTCACAATGGGAATTATGTTTTGTTTTGCTTTATAGTAGAAATGAAGTCACTTTGAATTCATTGTCTATTTCGCTATTGAGATTTGATATGATTCTATCGCTAACTTGGCTTTCCTTTCTTTTAAGGCAAACGAGCCTTGCCATTTTACATTATTTTGCTACAGGACGCCTTTCTATTTTGGTGGAAGATACCTGAAGGTAATGAATTTGTTATCTTCCCCCAATCTTCCTAACTGGACATTTGAACTAGCATTCTGAAGTCATTACATGTATCAATGGCATACATGTTTTTTACTCCAGCAATGTTTTAAACCATCATAAACGTTGCATTTCTTTATCCAAATGCCACTCTTATAGTTTTACATGTTCTGATATGTCATATGGCATGATAGACATATTGAATATGTGGAGGTATTTATGTGATACTTAATGTAAACAGCAAGTTCGCTTTATGCACTCTCACATGTGTGGTTGAAATTAATTAATTGACCAATTCTCACACAAAAAAAATAGATTCTTTATGTAATGGAATATAATTTCCTTTATTTGGTCTAGATATAATCATATAACTATAATTTGCGAACCAATGATAGAAAAAGAGTGAATATTTCGTGCAAATTCAAATTTATGTGTTTACTTTCATGGCAGTATTCACGGAATGTGAGTCAAACATGCTGGATCATTGATGATGAAAGAATGGGAGAAGCATCGGTTGAAGTACTGTCTATTCTGCCTGGCAATAGCTGTTGTCTTTAATGTTTCCTTTTAATGTTGATTGTGAAAGGTGACAACGATGTTTAAAATCATTGTAGGAAATAATTGGTGGAAACATCCTCCAAGCCTGCCAAGGTGATGGTTTTAAGTTTCACGCTGCAGGCAGAGAAGATATCGATGTACTGAATTTATTGTTTTGTACTTTTAAAAAGTTTATCAATGAATGAACTTATCTGATATGGAACTGTTCTAGGTCCGAATGTTGGGTCCAGGCAGGCCCTTTCTTGTTGAGGTGCAAAATGCACGGCATATCCCATCTGAACTGTTTGTAAAAGATGTAGAGAAAAAGATAAATAACATGGAGAATAAATTGGTAATGCTGCAACTGAATTGGTGATGTTTCTCAATCTTTTTATTTCATGATTACTAAATTCATAATATCATATGTTTGTGTAGGTTAGGGTGAAAAATCTGAAACTTGTTGGTAGTGAAGGCTGGGACCTTATGCGTGAAGGTGAAGCAGAGAAGCAGGTCTTTCATCTAGATTCTTAATAACTAGTTACTTTTATTTCTTTGTTGATCTCTTACAGCTTTGTTTCATCCATTGTTTTATCTATATATGCATCCTAACTATTACAATCTTACAACTGTGTAGAAACAATATGCTGCTTTAGTGTGGATATCTCGTCCTCTAAAGGATGAAGATTTTCAATGTATTTCTTCACACAAGGATTTGGTAAGCTTTTATGTTGTGTGTATTACTTGTTATCAAACATGTATTTTGCATTAAATGTTTAACTTAAACGTACAAAAGCATAAACAGTGTCGATCTTTGTATCTGCGTCATTTGACTTTCGCTGAGTAGCTCTAGGATATATATGTCTGTTTTTGTAACGCATCCTGATTGTATTTATGTCATTTAAGCCTTTGATTTATCCATTACGTACTTCTATATAAATGTCAATTGAATCGATTTCTGTAGTGCTTATATTAATATATTGATCAGCCATTCATCTCTTGTGCGGTCAATCTATTATTTATAAAATAAGAAATCCTTCAAAGCAGAGTTCCTTAAAAGAATCTTAGAAGTAGGTCTCATTGGTGTTACTAGTCAATTTGATTCATGTTTGTGCTTGTGGTCCAATCAAACACATAAGTCACGATCTATCTGATGCCAAACAAAAATGCAGACACTAGGTAGCAAATGAGAAAATGAAGCTTGATAATTAAAATTGTGTTTGTAGTCTTAACTCCTTTGAAAGTTTACTATAGCTTGAGCAAGGTTATTTAATGGAAATCAGCACCCACTACACAGAGCCACATAATTGTTTGCTATGCAAGGTCTGCTTCTAGTAGTCCCTCATGAGGTAGAAGCCTTCCTAAGCTTCACTCTCCAAATTCTTCTCTCATATTCCCCTCCTTGTCTCCTCCATTCACTTCCCAATCATGCTAGAATTACTCTTTCCAACCTAAATTTGCAACCTAGCCATTCAGTTTACTCTCCATGCTCCCTCCTATCCTAACCACCCCTCCCATTACTGACTCCTCCATTGTCCTTACCATGTTCCAGTTTACCCGCTTGCCTTATCAACTTCCTTCCTCACTTTTTCCTTGTATTGACCTGGGTCAACCATGGCCTATCACCTTTTCTCTCTTTGGATCATGCTCGCTGGGATTTTTGTATTTAATAATTGCTTTTTTGTTTTAATTTGTGAGTATGGTAACCAGAATCTTTTTCTTATTTGAGCAGAAAGTTTTGCAGAGGACCCCAATAAGGGTGCTACATCGTCGCAGTCCTTTAGAGCGGGAAAAGATTATTCATTGGTAGGATTATCCCATATATTGATAGTTATATGCTACGTTTACTATATAAAAGCTGCATTCAGACACGTGTCTGAAATTTCACCATCCCTTACTGTTTCTCAAATCTTAGGATGAAAATAGAGGCAATTGCTGGAAGTTCCCAATATTTTCTTCTGCACCTATGTACACAGGTAATCTTATATTATCTCTTATATAAATGAAATTTCAGTGACTGAACTACTTTTTAAACAGAGCTTAAGTTGTGGTTTTAAGTTTTAGCACCTCAAACTTTACAACTCCATGGCTATATACTTTTTACATTATATTGGAAATGAATGGTGAAAATATGGTGAACAATATTTCCAAGTAAATATTACAGAGGCCATGCAAAAGGATTCATTGGTGGAAGTAAAGGATTTATTACATAGGCCATGGAATTACCACTTCTGTCTTCTGAGTGCAATAAAACAAGCGAATGACATACCATGATCTACTCTCCTCACGTTTCTCTCCCAATAATTGTTATTGCCCGTTTGTTAAACATATAAAATCAGTATTTCTTTCCGATTTAAAAATGTGACTGAATTAATTTAGAAATACATCCGAGTTAATATTATGATAAACTTCCCTTCATGTACAGAGAAATCTGTAATCAGTAATTAGTTGAAGTCCGAAAGATCTAATAAGTTTGTACTTTTATAGGCTGGGACCTATATCAAGGAATTTGTTCATGGAGATCTTGGACGCACCTATCCTAGGTACGACATACGATACTTTCAATTTATGGGAATTGATTTTGAACACGTCACCATGTTGGCAAGTGCCTTATTTATTGTGATTTTGCAGCATTGGATCAATTTTGGGTTGCAGAGCTGAAATTTTGCAACTTGATGTCACAGACATAAAAATGGAATGTTTCCTGACATAAATCCGTTTTTAAATCATGGCTGCTAGACTTTGGAGAGGGCAGTACTATGATGGGAGATAGACACGTGCATCTTCAAGTAGAGCTACTTCCTTCCAGAAGTGTGTATCTTTTCGTACAGACTAGCCTCTTATTTCATCCCCCTTACATTAGTGCCCTTGAGCAACGTAGAAAGGAGTCCTAATTATTATAGCTTTATGATTGAATTTCTGTAGAATTGATTTTTTGAAAAGAATTATTTGTTAAGGTTAAAGAATTGATTTTATGTAGACTGTAAAGTATAATTACTTTGAACGTAAGTTCTTAACATTTTAAACAACTTGCTGTGCAATTTAATTTTTCTGGTGGCTAACATCGATAAAGGAACATTGGCGTTGGATGTTGCATAATATCTGGATTGTGTGAAGTTAGTCATGTTTGGTTTTATTCTCTGAAATTACACTAATAATAATAATAAGAACCACTAGTGAATGGAAATTTAATTGTCCTGACCATCAAACAGGAAGCAATGCTCTTACGTGCTCAACGGAGGACCCTTCCTCCATTCGAATAAAACAGGATCATATACCCCAAAAAGTCAAATCACAAGGGGCTTGTCCTCCTTTTCCAATTCCTTTGTTTTCATGGTTGGAAAAGGAAGAAACGAAATGCCACTTTTGAGAAAAATATCTATATCTACNTTTTGAACACGTCACCATGTTGGCAAGTGCCTTATTTATTGTGATTTTGCAGCATTGGATCAATTTTGGGTTGCAGAGCTGAAATTTTGCAACTTGATGTCACAGACATAAAAATGGAATGTTTCCTGACGTAAATCCGTTTTTAAATCATGGCTGCTAGACTTTGGAGAGGGCAGTACGATGGGAGATAGACACATGTGCATCTTCAAGTAGAGCTACTTCCTTCCAGAAGTGTGTATCTTTTCGTACAGACTAGCCTCTTATTTCATCCCCCTTACATTAGTGCCCTTGAGCAACGTAGAAAGGAGTCCTAATTATTATAGCTTTATGATTGAATTTCTGTAGAATTGATTTTTTGAAAAGAATTATTTGTTAAGGTTAAAGAATTGATTTTATGTAGACTGTAAAGTATAATTACTTTGAACGTAAGTTCTTAACATTTTAAACAACTTGCTGTGCAATTTAATTTTTCTAGTGGCTAACATCGATAAAGGAACATTGGCGTTGGATGTTGCATAATATCTGGATTGTGTGAAGTTAGTCATGTTTGGTTTTATTCTCTGAAATTACACTAATAATAATAATAAGAACCACTAGTGAATGGAAATTTAATTGTCCTGACCATCAAACAGGAAGCAATGCTCTTACGTGCTCAACGGAGGACCCTTCCTCCATTCGAATAAAACAGGATCATATACCCCAAAAAGTCAAATCACAAGGGGCTTGTCCTCCTTTTCCAATTCCTTTGTTTTCATGGTTGGAAAAGGAAGAAACGAAATGCCACTTTTGAGAAAAATATCTATATCTACTCAATCCAATGTGCATCTAACATTTTGGCCATGAAACTGTACCGGTCAGCAGCTTCATCTATCTGCGGTTAACAATAAATGAAATTTAAAAACGACATACAGCAATCAACAATGGGAATAGAAGCTAAAAAAGAACAAGATCTTAATCTATTACCATTTTCTTTGTAGGGCGCCCTGCACCATGCCCAGCCTTGCACTCAATGCGACCAATTATAGGGTTCGTCTGGGGACTTTTATCAAGACTAGTAACGAAGACATACTGCAAGGTCTGAAAAAAAATCAAAATACCAGTCAAAGAGAGCAGCACCACCCAAAATCTTCAGAATGCAAGTAGCGATTTGATAACTCAAGTTTGCAAAAATAATTCAATAAATCAAATTGGAAATTATGAAAAACAGACTTACCGCCAATAGCTTTAATGAATGCAGTGGCACAACACGATCATCATGATCAGCAGTCAACAGCATTGTTGATGGGTATTGAATTGACTGATTAGGATGTTTTTCCCAAGGTCTCTGGACATTATGCAATGGTGAGTACCTAAAACAAGATATTATAGAAAATCATAACGATGCTATGTGCAACCTATACTGGAAGAAAAAAAGCTCCAAAGTAAGAATGAGAGATTTCTTTCAACTATAAACCAGAAAGGAATCTAAATTATACACGCTGATGAAAAAATATTGAAGTTAAATAAGACTTAGCAATCCCCCTATTAATAATAGCCGAAGGTACTCACTCAATCACATGACTATGACAACGGAAGGTGCACAGGCACAAACAACCAAATCACCTATTATTTAAGGGCAAGTTGCCATCATTTTGATAAACAATTACTTATTCTTTGCCTTATTGATGTTTTAGCCAAAAGACAAACGGGGAGGAAGCCTTGCAGCTCTACACAATACTAAAATAAATTAAAAAAAAAAATTAACAGAAATGTCATATTTGCACGTATAACCATGCTCACTTGATTAGCCAATGAAATTCTTCCTCCTTGTCTGAACAACCATAATCTGTGGTCCAAGCATGACCTGAATAACAAAACAAATCAGTATGATACAAAATAACAATATAGTCAAGAAAACTGAACAAAACCAACCTATTGTAAATTTGTGGAACCGTAGCATGTCCATAACACCAACATGAGCCAGCGCACAACCGAAAAGATCAGGTCTCTGCTCACAAATTTGGAGAGGTGAGAAATACAGCAAACTCAATAAAAATGCACTAACGAAATTTCAGAGGACAAAACACCAAAGAAATGGCAAATGAATCATACTTGATTTATGCAAGCACCAACAAGAAGTCCACCATTACTTCCACCCTCGATGCATAACTTTTTGGGTTGTGTGTAACCAGCAGATACAAGATATTCGGCTGCTGAAATGAAGTCATCAAAGCAGTTTTGCTTGTTTGCAAGGGAGCCAGCTTTGTGCCAATCCTCCCCATATTCTCCACCACCACGAATATTTGCTATGCAGAAAACAACACCTAAATGTCTCGCCAGTACAGTACGACTGATGCTGAAATATGGTGTAAGACTGATGTTAAAACCGCCGTATCCGTATAGCAGACAAGGGTGTGAACCATCCAAAACAATATCCTTTCTGGAAACAATAAACATTGGAATCTTGGTACCGTCTTTACTAGGCACAAAAACCTGAAATTTGTAAGCTATATTAGAGAATAGAACATAATAAACAACACAGATTCTGAGAGACGTCAACACCCGTCCTCTCAGAGTAATGACATGTGAAACACACAAACAAATAATGTAAACTTTAAAATAGGAGAACTCATCTGAATATCAGTGAATCTTTCCTTTTTTTTCTTTTTGTTTTACCTGATTGACATGAAACTCGGAGCGGTCAAACCCAGGGACAACAATCTCACGAAATATCTTCATATCAGGAACTTGTGTTCTCAGGTCGCACTGATATATGATTCCAGGAGTCAAAAAGCTTGTAAAACCAATGAAAACCTCGGAATCCTCACGCCGCCCAGAAATTTCACTGACGGTGCCAATGTCAATTGGTAATTGATGTTGCAAGGAACCTGTTTCCAAGTCTCTAACTTGCAGAACATATTTCACATCACTCAAGTAGCTCACAATAAGTTGGTTACCATTTACGGCTCGTGCTGATTCAAGCACATCTTTTTCAGACTCTCGGATAACATCAGTCCAAACATTTGGTTCTTTCAAATCTACTCGAACTACTTTGTATTTTGGAGCATCTTTATTAGTTAAAAATGTAAACAAGGTGTCATCATTTGCAATGGCATGATATTGTCCATCGAATTTATCAACAAGCTTGACAAATGGAAGGAGGGAATTTTCATTCCGAAAACTTTCCAGCCCGTTTGGAAGTTCAGACAAGTCGTAGTAGTAAAGCTTGTTAACTGGATCACACCCTTCATCAATATACAGAAGAACATACTGCACAATGAACAAAAACAAAAAAGCCAGTCTTTTAGGAGATTTGATATCATATGCATGCATCATCGCAGTAATGCCCCTTGATTAAGGAAAATCATACTATGCCTAATCTACTTTGCAATGCTATGAATGTAACATTACATGACAGTGGATTGCTTAATCGTTCTGCTGACAATAATTAGAACATTGCAAAGTTTAAGGATCCAGGACTTTACGTTACGATATGACTAAAAAAGACCAATTAAAAAAATATTTCCACATTAACATGACACATTTGGCACAAACAACGACCAATCTTTGGTATTAATACTACTAAAGCCTCGAGGAAAATAACGACATAACATAGGGAGCACATTTTCATATCTTTATGTACACATAACATTCATATTTGCAAGGCAATGACAAAAAGAGTACCTTCCCGTCTTCGGTAACACTTCCTCCAAACATATATTTAGGATTCTCAGGATCTCTCCAACAAAGAATGTCTTCCGATTGATCAGTACCCAAAAAATGGTAACAAAGTTCATGATGAAGGTTCGCATTAGTTTCAGTCCCAGCATCTGCTACTTCTCCATCCCTACTTAGCAAATCAATGTAATCAATTCAAAGTTACGAATCAAGGATATATGAAACTAACCCCACCATCATATCCCTGAGAATGACTATGATTAAGTTATTTGAAAAAAATAAACATAAATAACACCAAATATCAATTTGAAATTTCAATCCCAGAACTAAATCATAGAAAGAACACGATAATGGAGATGACATACTTCGGAGCTGGATAGCGGCTGTAAAAGAAACCTTTGCTATCGTGCGTCCAACTAATGGAAGAAAACTTGACCTGAAACATCAACCATTAGCATGATCTTGATATGAACTATTTTCAGTCAAGAGATTCAACATTGTTTCTGTGAATCTGATAAGGATACTAACCCAAGATAAAGTATCAGGCTGAACACTCCTGTCACGAATACGCATGACTTTTATTGTGACCCAGTCGCTACCACTGGAACTGAGTCCATAGGCCAAGAACTCAGCATCTTTGCTCACGGACAGCGTGTTGAGGGAGACAGTTCCATCTTCACTGAGCGCATTGGGATC